AGGCGGATGCCGTGGTCCCTGACGATCAGGTCCTTCTTCATGGCCTGGAACAGGGAGATCTGCTCCCCGGTGTAGGGGTCCTTGTAGCCGGTGACGGCACGCTCGGCCGACAGCAGCTTCTCCCGGATCTCGCCGCCCACCACGCCCGCGGCCACCGCCTCCTCCACGGACAGCCTCTGGTTGCGCACCGGGTCGATGACGAAGCCGGTGGCCGCCTGGGCCTCCAGCAGCACCAGGGCCGTGCCCGGGCGTAAGATGCCCTTCCACATGGCCTGGTAGATGCTCATCTTCTCCTGCTGCCCGGGCTTGTCCTTGGTGGGCACCAGCACGCCCGCGATGCAGCTCGTGCCCTCCAGATAGCGCTTGACGTTCTTGTCTTTCGTGATCTCATCGACCGTCTTGCGCCCCGCCTCAAGTTCCTCCAACGTTTCCTTGGTAATGATGGTGGAACGGAAGAGTTCTATGGCCGTGATATGTCTCCTGAAGCCTCTAAACCACAACTGCTTACTGGTCTTCTCCTTCTCATCAATCATTGTGACAATAATCTTTATCACCTTTTCTAGTGCATGCACAGTGTCTCTTTTGTATTTACCGACTAACTCCAGCTTTTTCTCCTCTGTCACATATTCGGAGTTCAGCAGCTCCCATACTGTTGGCTTCTGGCCCCTGTACCTGCCCACTGTGACTTCCACTCGCTCGGTCTCCAGGACCCTCCTCGTTGCCTCGTCGACATACGTGCAGTCCTTTGTGTCCCGGACCATGGGGAATAAAGCCCAGCCTGCCCCCTCTTCCCGGCGGCTCCTCTCCTGAAGCTCCTGGTATGTCACCTTCTCATACGTGTTGGGATCCACAAACCTCTTATTCATGTGGTTCTGATCTGAAACAAGTGGGTATATGTCGTGGTGCAGACAGCTGCGCCTGTAGGCCATGTCCAGTGGGAGCCGGAGGTGGTGCCGGGGATCGACCACGCCCCCCGTGGCCACCTGCACCTCCAGCAGTCTGAGCGCCTCCTCCCGACTCACTAATTTCCTCTCCATGGCCTGGAACAGTGAGATTGTTTCCCCCGTGGTTGGGTCCGTGTAGCCTTTGGCGGCCTTCTCAGCATTTAGGAGCCTTTCCTGCAGCTCCTCGCCCACAAGGCTGGCAGCCATGGCCTCGTCCACAGAGAGCCTCTGGTGGCTCCGCGGATCCAGCATGAAGCCTGTGGCTGCCTGTGCCTCCAGCAGCAGAGCCGCTAACCACATGGGGATGAGTCCTCTTGTGCTGGCCTCGTAGACACTCATCACCTCCTGGGTGTGGGGGACGGTCACCCCCGCAATACAGCCACGGCCTTCCAGGTAGGTCTTCACGTGCTCTAGCCTGCTGAGGGCCTCTCCGCCACCTTTCCCCTTGTGTAGTGTGTCCAGGGTCTTTTTATTGATGATTCCAGCATTGAACAACTCTGCAGCTGTCACTTCCCCACCAATGCCTGGCACCTTGATGGCTTGGTTTTGCTTCTCTGTGTCTTCGACTGTGGCGGTGATGATCTCCAGCAACTGGTCTAGATGCACGGTTTGGGCTCTGTACTGCTGAACCAGCTTCCGCCGCTGATCCTCTGTCAGGTACTGAGATGACAGCAGGTCCCACAAGGACAGTCTCTGACCTGCAAACCTCCCCACGTGCATTGTCACAGTTTTGGATCTCAGAACCTGCCTGGTGGCTTCATCGATGTACATGTATGTCTCTCCTTTCTTTACAATTTGTAACATGTACAGCCCCGTGTCGGGGTC